AAGCAGGATCAGAAGCAGTTGGAAATCTAGTGAGTTTATTGAGTGGATGTTTGTCATTCATTTACTGAATGGAGGTGGTGAGTATAAACGTTGCAGTCAAGCAAAGCTGTTTTCAACTCATAGCTTGTGTGTGTGTTAGGTAGCCATAGAGACATGGAAAGATGCTCATGTCCCTGGCCTCACGGTCCTCATTTGTAGACTGTGGATAGCAATCCTACATATCCTATACTGTTTTTGCAAGAATGAAGGAGAGAATAAATTTAAAAGGTTTGATGCTGTGCCAGAACATACTTAAGCACCCAATAAGCATACTGTCTTCTCCTTTTTCACGTTATTGCTATTTGTGCAGAAATATGTCTGGCCCAAATCCTGTGCCTCACTCCACCACAGCACATTGGCTGGTCTTGATTGTTTTCCTCCTTCCTTGTTATATATATTCTTCTTTTCTTTCTTTCTCTTCTACACAATTTTCCTTTGTCTTCCTTCCTATCACACACACATAAATCCTGCCATTCTCTCATTTTAAATATGCATGCATGCCTAGTTTAATACCTCTTATACCCATCTGTCTTAGTCTTTGCTACTCAAATTTACCATAGCAATACAGGGCTTATGGAAGGGGTAGGGAAGCCTAGCCATAACCCATTGAAAAAGAGCTTAGCATTGTCGACAAATATTTTAATTTTGTGTTGTTTTTGAGTTGCATGTCCCTGAACCCAGAGAATAGGTTTGAGGGTCTCCAGTCGTTAAACTAATTTAACTTTTTGGTGTTTTAGCTGAACGTTAGGCTTCAGGAAGGAGGGAAGGGATAGGCCTGAGTTAGGCATGTTGATGTCTTTCACTTCTGAATTAACTCCCTGGATAAAGTGCCCCTCTGGCAACAGGACAGACAGGTTCATCTGGAGCTTTGGCTAGCTGGTGTACAAAGCTTTTCATAATCACAATGCTCACAACTTCAGTCACCCTGGACTCCCATCCCCCAGCAGGGCTTAGCATTTTGTGCTAAGCTTGGCCTCACACCCACTGGGAACCTGAAACACAAACAATGCTCACACCACAAAGACCTTTCCATAGAGTTGCACGGATGGTGCTGAGATGGCCGCCTGCATCTGCTCCCAGTGGACTGCAAAAATGTTTCCCTACCTAACCTCATTGTTAAAACTCTTGAAATAATAGGGCACATCGAAACCACTGGCTGGGCAAAAGGCTGACACACGCAGAACTTCAGAGCAAAGAAGAACTTCTCATCTAGCACTGGCACCTTTTAAGAAGTTGACTCTGAGAAACCTTTATTTCTATGGTCATTCCTATTTTTAGGACAGCTCCATACCTCTGGAGCCTCTGCTATCCCTCTCTTTGAAAAACCAACTGAAGGACCAAAAGAAAGGCAGTCAGCAAGTTTCTTCAACCTGAATACTAAAGATCCATAGAATCAGAACATGTAGAAGTTGGGGATGGAGATAGGAAGAAAGGGCATTCCAGAAGTGAATGACATGTGTAAAGACGTGGAGAAAGGAAAATGGTAGACACATGGAGGGATTCTTTTCAAACAAGTGTCTTTATCTTCTATGAACCTTCAGTATTCTTTCTACGCTCCCTTTCAACATTGTTATTATGGTTACACGTGGCACATCCCCACCTAGACTGTGATCTCCCATCTCACTGTGTCTGACTCATCTTCGCATCCCACTTAGAACTGTACACACAGTTGTTTTGAACTGGTATGGAATGGATGACTGAGAGGAGATATATTCCAGTGTTACACTAAACTTAAGAGGCAGATAATCTGGGTCCCAGGGATGTTCAATAATTTTTCTGATGTCATTTGCTTTCATCTAAAGATAAAGTAACAGAATGACTGAGTTAGATGGCTATTTTGGCAACTCCCAATGAACCATGCCACCAACTTCCATGTCTTGTGTGGTTCCTTTCCATGCTGAGTCATGGCTTGGCCATGTGCCCTTTGTTGGCCAGTGGTGCATCTACAAGTAAGGGTTTGATGGACATGGCACTATGGGGCTTATCCTGGATTCTGTTCTGCTGGAGAGAACACACAGAAAGACCATACAAGGAGAAAAAAGAGACTTTGAGAAAGGCCATGTGAAAAGAGAGAGAGAGAGATCTTGACATTACCTGAAAAGAAAGAAAAGGCTGGCCATGCCAGCTTTCCAGCTGAGTGTAGCCCAGAATGCAAAATGATGAGATATAATAAAATGATGGTTGTCTTTAAGCCACTGGGTTTTAGTCTGAATGGTTACACAACAATGTAAAACTGGAATCATTGCTTTCTTCATGGGATTGTCAGGACTAAGTGATGTGGCTTTGTAAGTGGACAAGTACTGAGGGTTTGTGAGGGACTGAATCTCTGAGCATAGGGACAACCTGAGTTTCATGTTGATTTTCAGAACCACATTCATTTGAGAATTAGCCTGAAAGTTCCTTCTCTTGTGAGAAACAATGCAACATCACTATCCAATCAGTATAGCCTTTGGCTTCTTTTATTGTCATCCTCCCTCTTACCTGGGCAGCCATCTATTATTCCTTAAGGAGAGAGAGAGAGAGAGAGAGGTGAATCATAGTCTAATGAAAAAAATGTATAAATGGCCATAAAAGCTGTGTGTGCCAACTTCATTTATCTTTAGAGAAAGGGTATTTTGAGAGCCAGCTACTGCTTATAACTTTAAGACACTAGCAAATACATTTAAAGTAGAATTTAAAGTAGAGAAGGCTAAGCTGAGGAAAAGGGAGAGGGAGTCACATGGTCTAAGAGGTCAAGCCTCCATCTAGTCCATATCTAGAGATGTCAGGCTCAGGAGAACTCAATTATACAAACCAAATTCCCAACAGACCAGCTGACCAACTATGATGCCAATTTATCTATTTGCAATGAGAAATTTTATTTTCAAGCCACAGTGCTAGGATCTTTCAAGGAAGGAAAAGTTTACTCTGGGAAAAGAGATTACTTGAACTGATGAGGGTTTCATACCTAGAAACATGCAGAATTGAGGAAGTATAGAGAGCCACAAACCATGGAGCATTTGGGGTTAGTTAACTGTTGCCCTAAGTCTAGGTGCTTCATCCTTTTGTGCACCTGGAATCTTCACCTGTTTCTAACCAGGCCTAGCGATGCTCTCAGCTATTCCAGTGTATGGGCTTACAGACTGAGGGGAAATCAAGTCAGGGAGATAGCTTTCCTTCTCCAAAAGGAAAGTAGGAAGGGAATCCCTTTTGTTATGAAAAATGGTCTAATAGAATGGAAGGATTTGAAAAGTTCATGAAAACCATTGGTTCCAAGCCTAACTCCAATCTAAATATCCATATCATTTTCATCTATCAATTATTTTTTTAAGGCTATATTATAATGTTTGCCAAACCTTAAGCTGTGAGTTCTTAAGGGTTAGAGTTATGTCTTATTCATCTTTTTCTGACTATTCCCAGCCCCATTATTGGCATACATTACAGTGGTGCACAAGAAATACACATAGCATTCATTGAGAGTCACATGTTTCTGGAATCTGATCTGCAACAGCATCCCTGTTAGGATATCACCTTATTATTTTGGAGGGAAGAAATGTAGAGGTCCCCAAATCATATGTCCTTCTAGAGGATACTGCAACTCAGGGCCTGGAAGGCAGTTTGCCAGAGTTTCTCTGCCACTGTGTATCCTGTACCCCCTTGGTGGCCCTCCTGATCTCCTGGCTTTCATGTACCTATCAGGTACCTCTCCTATACCTTTAAGAGAGTTATACTTCCATCTTTGGGGGCTCCACAGAAACAAACCCCACTAAGACTCCACATCCCACCCAGGGACACAGCCTAGTGTCACAAAAGTCCTTATGTATGTCTCAAAAAAATAGTTTTCCTTCATCTTTGTCCATTCATCCTTACAGACCTTTCCCCCAGAGCAAGCCACTCTATTCTTATTAAGGCAAAGGGAGAATCAGGAGAAGCACATGCTTGCTGTCCTCAAACTCTCCAGGTAGCTGTGAGGGCTGTCAGTGTCTCCTGCCCACCCCATGTGGGGAGTTCCATCCCTCACCTGGGGGTGCATGAAGTATGGGAGTAAGGAAGACGACCAATGCCACCAGGTCACTGGAAGATCCATATAAGAATACTTTACAAAATTGCTTTAATTACCGCTCAGCCCTTCCTTATAATTTGACCCAATCACAACTGGGCTGAGTCTCTGGTCCAACCCTCATGTAAATATTCCTATAATCCCATTCACTATGTATATCTCTCTCCCACCCTCATTTCAGGCAAATGTCTATCCCATGAATACCACCTGACAGCATGGAAAACAGGTCTCAGCAGCTCAGCCCCCTCTATACTCTATTTTTGCATCCCATTCGGACTTCTAGGAAGTAGTTATTTTGGGGGTGGTTGTGGGATTGGAGCAAGCAAGAAGATGCCAAGCTTGGCTGGGGCCAGGAGAAATATTTAGAAGTCTGTCTCAAAGTTGGCTTCTCTCTGGAACCACCTGGGGAACTTTACAAACTATTGAACCCCACCACGAAGTGTCTAATTTTAATTGATCTGGGGTAGTTCCTGAGCATTGTTAATTTTTTCTTTTTTTTTTAAACCACCCAGTTTATTCCCAGGTTGAAACCGACTGATACAAATCCTTGTTTCTCTTCCCACTTTGACAAAAGAAGTAGACTCTGGGCCCAGGTCAGCAGCCCAGGAAATCTAACACCTGCACCTTTTGCAATCCGTTGATGCCTCAAGGTCTCCGAAAATCAGCGCGCGCGACGATGCTAAACACTCAGGGGTGGCAGGGCGGGACCGGAGGGCGGGGCCACACGCGGCTCCGCCCCTGCACGCCTATCGGCGCGCGGTGCGGGCCCTGACGTCACTCTTGTCAGGGCCGGGGCACATGGGCGGCGGGCTGCGCTGAGCCGGGCGCTGCGGGGCTGCGGAGCGCTGGGAGCCGCGGGCGCGGGCGCGGGCGCGGGCGCGGGGAGGGGGGTGGGGTGGGACGGCTCGCCGCCTCTGGTACTTGCACAAGGGGCAGGGACCCGCGCGGTGCTTTCTGCTCTTCTGCAGTCATCTACATTTTCTTTCTTTCCCTTTTTTTGGCAATTTTGAACATTTTGCAAGACTAGTGGTTCGTGGCAGGTGAGAGCATCCTGCGCGTCACCGAAGGAGCCCGCCGGCACTTGGTGCGCTCTCCTGGGACTGTCGGCACTGAGAACCCTAAAGTTTTTGCTTTTTGAAAATATTTTTTTGTGCAGCTATATTTATAAAGATATAAGTACTTTCTTTTTTCTTCCCTGTCTCCACTGCTTTGAAAGCGAGTACTTTTGGCAAAGGACGAAGGAAAAGCAACATTTTGGGGGGCGATTGGCCTTCTTTCTAAACGAAAAAACAATTGAGTGCATCGCGATGGAGAAAATGTCCCGACAGCTCCCCCTGAACCCCACCTTTATCCCGCCTCCCTACGGCGTGCTCAGGTCCCTGCTGGAGAACCCGCTGAAGCTCCCCCTTCATCATGAAGACGGTGAGCGCTGCCGCGGCCGCCGCCGCTCCTGCCCTCCTGGCTGCCCTGCTCTGGGAAGGGACCACGCTCCCGGGGTACCCCCTCATCCCCTCCTTGGCCAGGTACCCCAACTGGCCGACTGGAGCATCCATTCTCCTCCCCACCTAGCCCAGCGCACCTCAGCCCGGCTTTGAAGAAATTAAACAGCTCACCCACTCCCTTCCTATTCCTCCTCAATAAAAGGGGGGATCCTTCTAGAGGAACACTTAAAATAGCGCAGGGGACCTAGCCCGGCGGCCCTGGGTCCCGCTCGGGCAGCGCAGGTGGGACTTAAACTTGACAGGTCAGGCCTGTAGCTTAGAATGACAGTCAAACCGCCTGCAAGAAGGCAGAGAAATGAGTCGGGGGGGGGGGAGCCTCGCCGAGGGTAGGGGGTTCAGATAAGGGGGTAGCCTGGTTATTGGAATCGTGTTATTGCTCTTGTTATTGTTTTATATTTGGAACTCTAAAGGTGTGAGCTGAGTCGCGTTTTCTACCACTGCAGAGCAATTGAGAAAGGGTGGTGGGGGTGGTGGGGGGAGTGGTCTGTCCCGGGGAAGCGGTGCACGCCTCCAGCGCTGACACTTTCCCCGTGCGCTTTTCCTGGTGGGAGGGTAGAGCGGAGCAGGCTCACGTGTAACCGCGCAGGAGCCTCCTCTGGCTTGAGCCCTTTCTTGGTAAGTCCCAAATCTTCCCTAGGCAACCGTGGTTGTGGAGGGACCGGAGGGCAGGAGAATGAGAGGAAGGGTGGAACTAAAGTCAGTTCTCCCCGCCCCCCCACCCCACCCCCCCGACAACGGATTTGCCATTTGGACCGATGGGGTTTCATGCCTTCGGGGTCGCAGTTACAAATGCGAACCACGCAGCTCATGCATAGAATCTTGAAAGATTATTTAGCAGCAAATAGCTTGGGAGTATTTGCATCTCCTTTCCCAGGAGGGGACAACCTGTTGCATTGCAAGAGTTGGGGTGTTTGCTTGCAGTCTGCAGATCATACTCCCCTCCTCCCCCTTTAAGGAATTTTGCTTGGGAGAAAGGGGCTGCAGACAGACTTTTGGGTCTGCAGATGTTTTAAGTCAGATTCTCGGGTGAGACTGTAGAACATTAGAATGGGTGGCGTGGAGGCTGTGTTTCTCTGAGGAGAAAACTCAGAAGCCAATTCCTTAATCCCAGATTCCACCCACGCCTGAGTACTAGGATTGACAAAATCCAGAGCGCCTGGTAAAAACCTAATCTGATGAGCAGTATTTCCAGGTGGGAAATAGTTGCATATCTCCATCATAAGTAGGTGGAGTACCTCCCCTTTTCCAATAGCCCTGCTTTTGACAGGTTGCAAAGAAGTATCATTTTTGTATATTGGATAATACTTAAGTGTTTTGGGAAGAGAAAGCCACTTTTATTTATTTATTTACTCACTGTTTATGTTTTTCTGTTTTTTTTTTTTAAGTGCGCCCTAGTGGCTCTCTATACAAACACAAGGGGCCTTAAAAAGCTCTCCTTTTTCTTCTCTGGTTGCTTCCAAGCCTCAGAGCCTCCATGTCTTCCTTGCAAATGGGGATCATTGTGATTTTGCAAGATTATTGTGATATTTTTGAGATAATATATAGAAAGAACCAGGCCTAGAGTAGGTATCAAACAAAAGTGGAGTGTTTCTGCTTTACTAAGATTAAGAGCACCAACACAAACTGAGCATGGTGGTGCATGTTTGAGGCCAGCTTGGGCTACACGGTGGGGGAAAAAAAAAAGCCCTAATTCCCTGGTTTTGTAGGTCTGAATGACCTCAATTTCTGAAAGATAAATCAGGCCTGGTTCTTGGCAGTTGCCTTAAACATCACAGCATTGTGTATAATGACAGGTGTCATTTCCCACTTTTGATTTCAGTCACTTTACCACCTCAAATAATGCACTGACAACTGTTCTCTTGTTTTATCCTGGATCAGCCTGTAGCCCTGTCCCAGGATTAGTGCTTTCTTCCCAAAGTAAATAGGAAGATGTTGAGAAACAGACAGAGATCCATATCCTGTCTGAACTTTTAACTCTAGATCCACAAAAGACAGCAGCCAGAGGACCCTGGTGTTCCTGAGAAGTGGTTTTGTAATACAGGTCAGGAAGGGTGGTGAAAGCGTGGTACTGTCTCTTTCCTTTCTTTTTGTAAAAAAAGTCCAACTTTTCCTTCTTCTGCAGCATTTAGTAAAGATAAAGACAAGGAAAAGAAGCTGGATGATGAGAGTAACAGCCCGACAGCCCCCCAGTCAGCATTCCTGGGGCCCACCTTATGGGACAAAACTCTTCCCTATGACGGAGATACTTTTCAGTTGGAATACATGGACCTGGAGGAGTTTTTGTCGGAAAATGGTATCCCCCCGAGCCCATCTCAGCATGACCACAGCCCTCACCCTCCAGGGCTGCAGCCGGCTTCTGCTGCTGCCCCCTCAGTCATGGACCTCAGCAGCCGGGCTTCTGCACCCCTTCACCCTGGCATCCCATCTCCAAACTGTATGCAGAGCCCCATCAGACCAGGTAAACTCTCAAAGGTTCTCCCTTCAATGAGGAAGAGGGAGAAGGCAAGGAACAGGGAGTAGGTGGCATAGATCTTATGTGCAGGAGATTTTAGCACTTGTTTTTTAGAGAGGAGTCTTCTGTCCCACCTGCAGTGGGGGTTCTTGCACTTCAGTGAGTATTTCCATCTCTTGCCTAGAGAGTCAGTTAAATAAAGCTCTATGGACCTACCTCTAGAAAGTCTGACTTTTCAGGTCTGGAGTGATGGCCCAGGCAGATACATTTTTAACCAGCTCTCCATGAGATTCAGATGCAGCTGATCCAAGAGCTAAGGTTTAAGATATACCAACCTTCGCTTAAGGATTTGGCTAATGTGAGCATCTGTCCTATTGCTTTTCCTCATCCCCCAAACACAAAGGTAATAGGATCTTGCTGGATGATTTGGATGTCCTCTCTATAAATCTTGGTTTATCTACATTTATTTTTCTCTGGCCTAAAGGGAGGAAAATGTGAGTAAGGGTATGGCGCAGGGTTTGTTTTTGGTTTTTTCACCCACCTTATTTCATCATTGACTGAGAACTAGAGTCTAACAGCAGGATCTCATATTAACTGAGGTTTAGCTTCCTTCTCTTATCACCAGACAACATCTTTCCCTTGTCGCTATTCCTATGAATCAATCTGTTCTTACATGATTTCCATTTTCATCTGTCCATTACATTTAGTCCACCTGTATCAAAGCCTGCAAGGCTGCAGAGCTGGCTGTAAAATGATGTTGAATATTACACAGAAATATCACCTGGAAAGACTAGAGCTTTAAAACCCATTGCTAAAGGCTCAGGGGTAAATACAGACCGAGGCAGCTCTGGATCCCTACCTTTGGGACACTGTAGTACAAAATGAACAGGAAGAAAGATCAGTTCATGTGCACAGGTACCAGGAACAAAGATTCAGTCTGATAAATTGACAGGAAGGTCACCCGGTGGAGGGCCTTAGCTGCAGGGGAAGACAGAAAGCAGGACAATGTGAGACTTGTGTTAGAAATTGTTACTGAACTCTGTGTTCTCAACTCATGCAGAAATTTCTGTGACACACAGAGCAAGATTTAAATGGAAGGAAATGAAGGAGGAAGAGAATACTTCTGCCTTGATATATTAGTATTAGAGTTAAAGTTCATCCTTTCAAATGGCTCTGGGCTTTCAAATCTCTCTTGCCCTTTCTCCAAAATCCACTTTGATAACTCAAGACTACTGGCTCTAATGGAATGGAACCTTAACCTCCAGCCACCCCTGGAGGCTGCAGAGCAAATGCTCCTTGATGTGAACTGCAATTCCTACTACGTAGAATGCATAGTGCCACAGTCTCCAAGTTCTTCATGGAAACAGACAGCCAACAAAATACTTAACCCTTCCAAGTGGGAAACAACTGGGGGTGGGGATGGGAGAGAGAGCCCCAGGGAGCAAACAGACACACTGGTGCCTCAATCATCTTGCTACACAGTGAGCTTCTTGCCACTTCAGTTGCCTTTTGTGTCTAAGTCTATAATTTCTATTTGATGAGTTTATTGTAAAAATTAGAAGTCTATGTACACAGAGTCAGATGACTAGCACTGGTGTTCCGTTAATGGGAATGGTTGTGGTTGTTATATCTGTGTCAACTTTTATAATTTATTTCAATCGTTGTCTTCTGAAATACTGTCTTAAAGTAATTAGGCAAAGTATATAACCTTCCCATGGAGGTAGAGATCAGGTAATTTTGCCCAATGGTTATTGAACAAGAATAGTCTATACTGAGAGTCAAAAATCAGGATTTTTAAAATTTGAGGCTTAAGTCATTTGTTAGAGCTCTTTAGAGGTTTTCAGGTACTTGGTATACTCCAAAATTACAATCCAAAGCAAAGAACTCATGAGTTTCTGTAGGTTCGTTTTAGGTTATGGTTAGGTTAGAGAGAAAGGCTTACACTAAGAATCTGAAAACAAGATCTTTATTTAAATGATTTTTAATTAGCAGAAAAACACTTCAAAATAATTTTCCTCTTTGAATTGAAAACCTGATGAAAGTCCTAAGAGCAAAGAATAAAAGTCAAAGCTCTTCTTCGAATGCCAAATAGATAGAATCCAGTTCTATTCTTACAGTGTTGATCATTATGGTGATTATAACGTGAAATGACATTTTTGGGTATGTGGGCTTGATGGATATATATCCCAAGCAAACCTGAAAAAGAAGAAAGCTCTTGGTTATTCTGTGTATCTCATAGGAAAGACCAGAATAGAAGTACCAAGTGATTCTTGAAGAAATTAAATTCTCACAAGGGCGGGCACAGATGTAGCCATGAACATTCTGGGGATTGTACAAATTCAATCTCAATTGGGATTTCTCAACCCTGGCACTACCAATGCTTTGGTTAAGTCTTAGAAGACACTTCCCATGCATTGTAGGATGTTTAGTGACATCCCTGTCTCTATCCCTAGGTACCAGTAGTGCCTACTCTCCAGCTATGACAAGTAAAAATGTCTCCAAACACCTCCGACTGTCCCTTGGCAATAAAATCACTCCCAGTGGAGAACCAGTGGTCTAGACTTTCAACTTGGACAGAAAAATCTGGACCTAATTCAGGGTCCCATCATACAAATAGATGCTTTTTATCTCTTGTAATACTTTGTAGAAAAACTTTTGAAAAGGTCAGGAGACATTAGATTGCCAAAACCAAATAGTATATGAAGAGCATCATTAGGCAGTTTTAGTTAATAAAACTCAGGCCGAAGACAATTGCTGAGAAATTCATCAAACATTTGTTTTTGGGTGTTTGCTCAGCATATATTCTTTTTTTCTTTTGTGGCAGTACTGGGGTTTGAATTCAGGGGTTTATGCTTGGTAGGCAGGTGCTCAACTGCCTGAGCCACACCTCCAGCTCTTTTTGCTCTGGTTGTTTTTTGAGATAGGGTCTTAAATTTTTTGCCCAGGCTGACCTGAATGATGATCCTCCTATTTTATGCTTCCTGCTGTTGCTGGGATGATAAGCACACACCACTACACCCAGATATTGGTTGAGATGGGGTCTTGCTATCTTTTTGCCCAGGTTGATCTTGATCTGCAATCCTTCTGATCTCAGTTTCCCAAGAACTAGAATTATAGGTGTGAGCCATCGGTGCCTGGCTAGCATGCATCTTTTGAGTTATGCTCAATTAGCATTGTGTCCTTACTGTCTGCTATCTTGGCTGAAAGGCAGTGAAGCCATAAACTGACAAGTTATGCGTTATAAAGTCTACCCCAAGGGTGTCTTGGAGTAATAAGGTGAACAGTCTTGTGAGTTTTAAGAAGTATTTACCATGACTGCTCCCCCCCAGCCTCCATCATATTTTGTGTACCCCAAACCATTCCTCTTTCTGGCTACCTGATCAGAGATTGAATCAACTCTCTGAAGAAATACAGTTTTCCCTGAAGACATATTCTAGAGATTCATCAAAACTTGATGTGGCCATGGAGTGACTGCCAAGTTTTCTGGGCTGCCCTCTCCATTAAGGGAAGAGTGGTGGTTCTGCTACCTGTGGGTGGCCTCAGAATACCCTGGTTGTGAAGATCTCAGGTCCTTTGAATCCTAAACACAGAATTGGATGGATACACTTGGATTGTAAAGCAGCAGCAAAGTTTTATTGAAAGTAGAAAGTACACTCCACAGGAGGCAAGAGTGGGCTTGAGTGAGATGGCTCAAGGGTTCAGGTACCTTGGTTCAGATAGGAATTCACACAATATAAGAAGTGAGCAAAAGGGGAAGTATGGATGGTTCTTAGGAGTGGCTTTGGTGGCTGACAGTTTTCATTGATAAGAGCAAACTGTGTTTGGGGCTACCCAGAATTCACTCTGTTATAATTATATGCAATCCATATTCATAAGGCTAAAATTAGGGGATCTTACCAAAAAGGTTATTTTGGGGCAAGATTTTTCCCTTGTGCGCATGCCCTGATTTGGGTAAGTTCCTTGTGGTCAGTCATCCTGTTTAACCATGACACTGTGGTTAGCTGTTGCTGTAGTTTTAACCACGAAAGGGGTGTTTTGGGGTGGTTCTGGGTGGAGCTAGTCCACCTGTTCCCATGATCTTCAGGGGTACTTTTGCTAAGCTTCCTGCCTCCATTCTTGATGATGTAGCCATCTACAGAGGCTTCACCACGGCATCTGAGTACAGCATCCTGGCTTTTCCCATTCAACAAGGAATGGCAGGAGTCATTTTGGAGGCCTCAGTGTTTGTGCTTCAGATGCCGTCATCCGAAGGTGATATATGGGGGTGCACTTCTGGAGGTATGTGCTAGTTACTGGGAAAAATAAGAATCTGTTTGCCCTGAGAATTGAGCAGTTGCTTTAAGGACAGCTGTCCCTTTAGGGAAAGTCATCTATAGCAGACAAAGGCAGAGTTATTTTTAAATCCCAGGCTTGTAAAACTAGATTTGAAACCATTTCCTCTGGTGGTTTTTCTTTGAATAGCTTGGGGGTGTCCTGCCACTTGTAGGCCCGTATTCAGCTGAGAATTAAGAAGTCCCTCTTTCCAGCTTAAGCTTAGAGATTGGGGTATGGTGAAGGCTGGGTATAGAGAAAAGTGAAAACCCTTCCTTATGGTCATGGTGGGAGGAGGAGGGTACAAGGCATAAGAGAAAGGGGGCTAAGACGAGCTTATTGTACCTTTGCAGTGTGGAGTTTATGCCCTCTTCCTGTCCTTTGTGACAAGTTTTGGTGTAGAGGGAAAATGCCAGCCATGGGACCTGTGTTAAGAATGGAGAACTCTGCACTGGTGATTTGGGGATTGTGGGAGGGCCTACTGAGGCAGGAGGAGTCTCTTGCTACTTCCAATATCAAGAGATGAGCTCCCCTCCAAGGCCTGCAGTTCATATTTCCCCATGCATTGTACATATGTCTGCAGGTTGGGAATGCTGTGAGTGACAGGTGTCATGCACAGCACTTCAAGTATCTTGGAAGTTTCTCACTCATCAGGATGAAGGGGAGAGAGGGAATCTACTTTGTTCTGGAGGTAGGCGGACTACTTTCTGTTTCTTGGAATTATTTATCTTCTCTACCAACCCCTGTACAGGCCAGG